CAGGTGAAGTGCTTAACCTCTTAAGACCGGAGGGCGTACTATTACGCCCTATTTTAGGCGGCTCTAAACGCCGCCAGGTGTAATAGTACGTCCTCTGGTTTTTGTTTACTTACCCGGTCGCCGGCGGTCCCATGCCGGTGATCGCGGTTGGGGGGACTCCCAGGGAGACCCCCCCTCGGCACATCTTCTCTCCTGCAGCCCCCCCGACCATATGAGAGTGAGGTCCTTGCGAGGACCTCACAATCACATGGCCGGGATAGCTGGTTGCTGCATTGCCAGCAGGGGGACTGCCTGTAATGACAGGTAGTCCCCCTGCTGGCTGGACCTCACTCTCACATGGCCAGGGGGGCTGCCAGAGGGTCGGACCGGGTTAAGGAAAAGAAATCAGGAACAGTGCCAAACAGAAACAGTGGTCAGTGTGAGTACTGCACGAGGGCAAATCAACTAAGGAGTGTCGTGACAGTTATTAAGCCTTGACAAAGGGGAAAACTATAGTGCAAGAAAAACAAGTTTGTTTTCCTGGCTCTATAGAATCTCTTTAACCCCTTAAGGACCGAGGACGGTTCAGGACCGTCATCGGCATTTTTGCCTTGCCGACCGATGACGGTCCTGAACCGTCCAAACGGTCTGGGGCTACTTACCTGATCGCCGTCGTTCCCCCGGCGGCGATCAGTGTTCCTCCGGTTGTGGGGAGACTGCCTGCAGCCCAGACAGTCTCCCCACGGCAGATTATGACCCCTGTGGCCATGTGATCGCTTAACACAGCGATCACATGGTCACAATAGGTGTCCATAGTGCTGCCTGCAGGGGGACTGTCTGTACTGACAGGCAGTCTCCCTGCAACTGTAAAATCAGAAAAAAAATTAAAGTTAATGGTAATAAAAAAAATAATAATAATTATATATGTATAAATATGATATATAGACATATATTATATCTATATAATATATGTCTATATATCATATATATATATGTCATACTAAGTGTATTTTTATATTAATATGTACTTATATTAATATAAAAATACACTTATAATTAAATTACACACGTATATATATAATATATATAACAACTATATATATTGTATATATATATTATTATAAAATATAAATAATAAGTAATTTAAATTAAATTTTTTTTTTTTAATAATAATAAAAATTTAAAAAAATTATATATCTATATGAAATTTTATTCTAACTGTATTTTAAAATTAATATATATATATTTATATCAAAATACACTTAGAATGAATTTGTATATATATCTATGTATATAAAAATAAATAAAATAATAATAAGAAATATACATACGTCCATATACAAAATTACATAAATAATTATATAAATATACACGTAGACTTTAAATATATAAATATGCATATATATTTAAATTCTACGTGCGTATTTATGTAATATTTTTACATAATTCAGTAATTTTATTGATTGCAATTTGAGGGACCTGCCTGCCAACCCAGGCCGAAATTCCAGAGAATTTAATTTGCTAGCACTGTATTTTACCCTGTAACGTTCTACGACACCCTAAAACCTGTACATGGGGGGTACTGTTTTACTCGGGAGACTTCACTGAACACAAATATTAGTGATTCACAACAGTAAAACATATCACAGTGATGATATTGTCAGTGAAAGTTACTTTTTTTGCATTTTTCACACACAAACAGCACTTTTACTGTTGATATAATTGTTGTGATACGTTTTCCAGTTTTTAAACACTAATATTTGTGTTCAACTTCAATTAAAAACTGATACCTAATATTGGAACTACACGAAAGTTACAGGTCAAATATATGGGTCAAATATTTTTACACTGAAAATGGCCAGGTTGGTTATGTTGCCTTTGAGAGCGTATGGAAGCCCAGGAATGAGAATTACCCCCATGATGGCATACCATTTGCAAAAGAAGACAACCCAAGGTATTGCAAATGGGGTATGTCCAGTCTTTTTTAGTAGCCACTTAGTCACAAATACTGGCCAAAATTAGCGTTCAATTTAGTTTTTTTACTTTTTTCACACACAAACAAATATGAATGCTTACTTTGGCCAGTGTTTTCGACTAAGTGGCTACTAAAAAAGACTGGACATACCCCATATTGAATACCCTGGGTTGTCTACTTTAAAAAAAAATATGTACATGTGGGGTGTTATTCAGAGATTTATGACAGATAATAGTGTTACAATGTCACTATTGATAAATTTTAAAAATGTATGTTTTGAAACCGTAATATCCTACTTGTACCTATAGCCCTATAACATGCAAAAAAGCAAAAAGCACGTAAACACTAGGTATTTTTAAACTCAGGACAAAATTTTGAATCTATTTAGCAGTTTTTTTCATTCGCTTTTGTAGATGAGTAAAAGATTTTTCAAGTAAAAGTCAAAAAACATGTATTTTTTTCAATTTTTCATCAGATTTTTTGTATTTTTTTTAAATTAAAATACATGAGATTATATAAATAATGGTATGTAAAGAAAGCCCCTTTTGTCCTGAAAAAAACAATATATAATTTGTATGGGAACAGTAAATGAAAAGCGGAAAATTACAGCCAAACACAAACACCACAAAAGTGTAAAAATATTCCTGGTCGCAAATGTACAACATCGAAAAAACAGTCCAGTCCTTAAGGGGTTAAGGTTAGTTGCCTCTGGCTGTCCTCTTTGGTTTCTGAGAGATATTAAAGTTTATTGAACTATGGTGAGTGTTTATTTTCTGGTGTGTCTTTTTTGACCTTACTTCACTATTGATTTCCTTGCGTGCTTCTTTAGATTGCTTTCCAGGGGAACCTAATGTAATTCCTCACAAATATTGGACTCTGATGGACTTGAATAGAGCACGGGAGAGTACAGGGCCCTTTATTTCACTACATTTGTGAAATGCCTGGTGATCAAGGGGACATGAGATACTTCAGTATAATGTTCTGATGGCAGAACACGATCTCACCGTGGCAACCTATTGTCTTACTTGAGATCTGCCAATGGACAATCAGCCGAGGCTTAGAGGTTTTGAATAGCGATTAGACTTGAAGAAATCCAAACTGACTCCTAATACTAAATATAAAGTATCAATACAAGAAGCACTAGTCAATATTTCTAGAAACGCATCAAAAAAACTGTTGGCTATTACATATACACGGTGAATATTATGCTTTGGAAGTAAAAAATATATATCTTAAAGAACAAATTTAAATTTGGTTATGTGTACAAACATTGTAACACGAAATGCACATTAATCTAAGCACTGAGATCATCAACTGACACAGTCAAGCAATGAATGGTGTCCAAACGTGGATGAAATTGGGATTGCTAATGCAAAAATTTAACCTATATATTAGCAATATAATGAATGAAAAAGGACTAGGCTGCTCAGTAATGATTTCATCCAGAACCAGTGGATGGCGCAAGGAGCCTTTTAGAACCATAACACGGACTTACAATGGGGTGTAGATGTTATGGTGTAAGAATCCACCTTTAATCTTCAGTACTTCTTTTAGTCCATCCCCATCTGAGCACGTCTCCTTTCTTCCCTCCATCTCTCATCCCCACTAGACATGTGCAATTCGTTTCGAATGTGAATTTGGATGAATGTCGGGCAATTCGAACATTTGGATGCTTCCGAATGTCTGAAGTGCCGAATCGAACCGCCGAATTTAGGAAGTGCTGAAGTGCTTCGGATTGTTGAAAAGTGGCAAAACAAGACAGGGAGGGAAAATAACATGAATGATGATAGGGGTAGGGCTAGGGAGCCCTACAGATGTTCCGAAGTCCCGAATTGCCAAAGTCCCAAAACGAACTAAAGTGCCAATTTTTTTTACTAACCTGAATCAAACCAATTTTTTTGCCCATGCACAGCCCTAATCCCCACCTTCATTGGCTTCCTATTTTACTTGCATTTTCTATTCTTTTTTCTGCTTCCCCTTTTGTCCAGAGAGTGATACAGTTTCATAAAGAGATCTTCCTTATGAAACATGATTACTTCCATTTACCGATCAGATATCACTAGACAGAATCTGAGTTCATTTTGCAATTGATTATTGTTCAAATCTGTATGTTCTGTGCCTATACTTTTTTTCCTATCAAGGGACACTGTAGGTACTTTAAACATTTCATCTCATTGAATTGGTTATAGTGTCTGGAGTCCTTGTGCATTGTCCCTTCAATGTGAAACCATCTACCATATATATCCCCTTAGTAAAAAGCCACTATAGGGTCTTTAGGTCCCGCCTACCTTCGGGGTTTCACGCCTGCTGAAGTGGTTAAACATGTACCTTTCAAGCGCCAGGCTCCCTCAGGGCTGGTGAACTCACCTCCGTCTCCCGACAACAGCGCCGAATGCGCATGCGCGGCAAGAGCCACATACGCATTCAAACTGCCCATAGGAAAGCATTACTCAATGCTTTCCTATGGACGTCCAGCGTCTTCTCACAGAGATTTTTACAGTGAGAATCGCAGAATCGCCTCTAGCTGCTGCCAGTGAGCCCGCCACCAGAGGCTGGATCAACCCTCAGTGTAATCATAGCGGATTCTCAGAAACTATGTTTTCAGCTGCAGGGTTAACCCTAGCTGGACCTGTCACCCAGACCAATTCATTGAGCTGAAGTGGTGTTGGTGCCTATAGTGGTCCTTTCAGTAACCTGCACTTTCAGTGTGGGGAAGCCCAAGCTATGAGTTATTATATCCTGTTATGTAAACAAGCTGTGCTGGTGCTATGGATATAAAGTATTAGGAAGTCTCACACTCGGTATAAGGTTATGGTTTAATATTGCTATATTCCCACCAGGTACAGATCCCGAGAAATCCCATCTACAACAACATCATAACCCCCACTGGGCGTAAAGCAAGCTCTGTTTTTTTGTTATTTGTTTTTGTGTTTGTTTTTGTAGCACGATCAATTCAATAAAGTAAAAAAAAAAAAAAATCTCACTACGCCAAGGCCCCAGAATTCTATACACAAGAGTCACGGTGTATGTTTATTCCCTGTCGCCGGTACAGGAGCCATTTTACCGGATAGACCACAACTAAATCTCGGACTCCAAACAAATGGGCGGCTCCTAATAATGAAGTGGACGACACGGGACGCGCGCCTTGTGATGACGTAGTTGCACCCTAAGCATTCTATTGGCTGCGGTTTAACACCGCCACCAGACGTTGTAAGACGTCATTTCCGCCGTCGTCGAGCGTGTAACCATCTTGGAGAGCGAGGTGTTTGCCAGTCAGTCAGTCCGGTCTCTCTCTGTCGCTGCGCACACCGGGTTGTTGGTGAAATGGCGGCCGCTGCAGCTGTGGGCCCTGCCGGGGTGACCAGTCAGTCCAGCCGAAAGAGGCTGATGAGGGAGGAAGACATGACCAAGGTGGAGTTCGAGACCAGCGAGGAGGTGGATGTGACTCCCACCTTCGACACCATGGGGCTGCGGGAAGACCTGCTCCGGGGAATCTACGCTTATGGTAAGCGGCCCGCGGGCCGGACCGGCCGTCAGAGCTCAGAGAGGGCCTGGGCACCCCATACCGGCCGGGGAGAGCTCTGAGAGGGCCTGGGCACCCCATACCGGCTGGGGGACAGCGGGGAGAGCGCTCAGAGGGCCTGGGCACCCCATACCGGCCGGGGAGAGCGGGCAGAGCTCTCAGAGAGGGCCTGGGCACCCCATACCGGCTGGGGACAGCGGGGAGAGCGCTCAGTGAGGGCCTGGGCACCCCATACCGGCTGGGGAGAGCTCTCAGAGAGGGCCTGTTTGTTTAGTGCAACTTTAATCGTTTTCAGCAAGAGTTGTTTTTTTCCAAAGTCCTTTTGAATGCTTTTTTAAATGCTTAGTATTTATATGGAGCTGATATTATTTTGATTGTGTACTCCCTAATTATCAGACATGTGTCAGTGTTTGTGGGCTGATATTAAGTAATGAACTATCCTTCGAATAAGTGCAAGTGTGTATTGCTTGTGTTTGTGGGTTCCGTTTATAAATGTTTGGGGATCTGATAAGTGGCATAAAGTTGTGAAAGTGTAATAATCACCTCAAGTTAACTGTTTACATTTCTTATCACAAAGGGGCATGCAGTTACCTTTAGGTGATTACTGCACTTTCACATCTTTTTGTCACTTATCTGATTTCCAAACTTTTATCAAGTTCTGAAAACCCATGTAAAGTTTTTGCTGGCACTTTGGAAAAAATGGGATAAGTGGGAACATTCAATTTGTAATTTCTGTAGGCAGTGTCTGCACCAATATTCAGAACATAACAATGTTAAATGATCTAAAAAGAAAAATATTTCTGCTTAACCCCTTAAGGACACATGACATGTGTGACATGTCATGATTCCCTTTTATTCCAGAAGTTTGGTCCTTAACACACTTAAAAAAAAAAAAAAAAAAAAAACCCACACAAATTGGGTTTCTTTAGTTTAGATTTAGGACCTCGTGCGTTTTTGTTTTTCCTTCCAGTTGGCTTCATTTTCTTATTAATTGCATGATTGCTAAGTGGTTTAATCTTATTTTTCAGGTTTTGAGAAACCTTCAGCTATTCAACAGAGAGCTATCAAGCAGATAATTAAAGGAAGAGATGTTATTGCACAGTAAGTACAGGATTTTAATTCACATGGTGATATTCCCTCCAAATTCCTTTACCATAATTGTCTGTACATTTATTTGAATTATTCATGTCCGTTTTGAGATGTAAATTTATGACACTCCTACTTATTTTCTTGTGCTACATACATTCTAAAATATGATCTAGAAAAATTGCATTTCTTTCAAATTGTTCGTGTAAGCCTGTTGGACTCTTTCCTGCTTTTTAGTTGCCAATCAACACTACACTTTCCTGATACAGTTCTCAAGCCATAGTGCATACGCAAAACTCTCACACTCATGCAAACATAGTGCTTGAATGCTTTTGTGTTTTCAAACAATAGTGGAACTTCTCTGCCATTGTCATGAAGCTTTAATTATGGTTCAGCACTATGGGGATTAAATTAATTTACATATGTTCTAGCTTTGCTAGTTATGCAGTACCAATATTAATTTGACCATGTCGGTTCATTGAATCTGGCAAAGCTATGCATGGATTATATTGATATACTTTTAGGACTAGAAGCCGAACACAGATTAGTTGTTTTCTATAGTGGCACACAGGTTTAATGTCCACTTTGGAATTGATTCTTTTCTGTGTTGATCTACTTGGGGAATTATTTCTTCAACCTTCTTTTTTGTTTTAAATATGTTTATTTGCATCACAATATAAAAGCGAATGTCGAACACAGTTCTATTAACGCAGATAGTCGCCTACGCAGAGGTGTGCAGATTAGAAGTGTAGATAGCATGAGGCAAACATGTAGATGGCATCCAGAAGCCCGGCCCTGCACCTCCCAACCATTTTTTTTTTTTTTTTGACATTTGTTTAGTCCATTATTAGCACGCATGCTCAGTTTAGTGAATACCTAAAATGTTCTCTATTTATTTTCTTTCAGGTCACAGTCTGGTACAGGCAAAACTGCAACCTTTTGTGTGTCTGTTCTTCAGTGTTTGGACATTCAGGTAAAAGTTCTTGAATTCCCTCAACCCCTCTGTTCCTGTGTGTCCAACTTGTCTGGTTACAACTACATGTCTGTTCGTCCACCCATTGTAAAGCGCTGCGAAATTTGGCTATATATAAATGTTTTATAATTGATTCCTGTGGCCACTGGTTTACGAAGTGTATATATAATTTCTTCCAAGTTTTGACCTATCCCATTGGTCTTTTTGCTTGCTTTTTTAAATCTATCAATCCATTGTGGTATATTATATTTAGTCCATGATATGCAGACAAGTAAATAGAAATATAAGTATTCGAACTAGATCTCAGTGGAACATTTGGCATTTAGAATGCTTACGTCATCTTCAGTGGGACTGAAAAATAATGTACAACCTTCAGGTCACAGATATAGAAATATTCTCCAACATGGATTCTCAAAGTTTGCCTAGTTTTTGTTTGAGTTTTTTTCGTTTACATTTCTCTGTTTAGTAAATGTATAGGCATTATACAATGGGGCTGCACTGTTAGATGGTTTCAGGATTTGTTTGTTCATTTGTAGAAGGGATCAGCATTCTCTCAAACATATTCCCATTTTATTTTGCTGCAATTTTGAGACAGTGTTTCAGGACATGCTTATATTGACAGGTCTTTTCCCTTTCAGGTTCGTGAAACTCAAGCTTTAATTTTGGCACCAACCAGAGAATTGGCAGGACAGATTCAGAAGGTAGGTGTTCAATCATCTGTGGCATATTTATTTGATTTACTGTTATAAGAGAGAATTATTAAAAACTGGCATATTGTTTCGATGGCATAACTCTACTTTATTTGTGGTTTTTCTTTTTTTTTCCATTCTTGCTTAATTGTCAAATTGTGAATGCTGTTTAGTCTTCTAGAAATGATTAAAATATCCTAATTCTTTTTCATTGTAGGTTCTTCTTGCTTTGGGGGACTACATGAATGTGCAGTGCCATGCCTGCATTGGAGGTACAAATGTAGGTGAAGATATCCGCAAACTGGATTATGGTCAGCATGTAGTTGCTGGTACCCCAGGTCGTGTTTTTGGTAAGCATAGACAAAATTAAATCTTGCGGAATTAAAATTACTTACATGGTGCTAAAGTGAGAATTTAGCTTACCATATATACTCGAGTATAAGCAGAGTTTTTCAGCACATTTTTTGTGCTGAAAAACCCCAACTCTGCTTATACTCGAGTCACTGTCTGTATTATGGCAATTTACATTGCCATGATACAGACTGGGGGCTGGCAGAGCTGTTACCTCTCCTGCAGCTCCTGTCAGCTCTCTCCTCCTCCGCGCCGGTCCGTGCAGCACCTCGGTCAGCTCCCAGTGTAAGTCTCGCGAGAGCCGCGGGGTCATAGTGCGGCTCTCGCGAGACTTACAGAGTGAGCTGACAGAAGAGCTGCACGGACCGGCGCGGAGGAGGAGAGAGCTGACAGGAGCTGCAGGAGAGGTAAGTTACAGCTCTGCCAGCACCCTCCTCCCCCCACTGAACTGCCAATGCCACTGGACCACCAGGGAAGGAGAGCCCCCCTCCCTGCCATGTATCAAGCAGGGAGGGGGGACAACAAAATAAATAAATATAAAAATATATAAATAATAATAAAATTTAAAAAAAATAATATAACAAAAAATTAAAATAATATTAATTAATAATATATAAATATAAATAATAATAAAAAAATAATATAACCAAAAAAATTAAAATAAATAATATTATTTTATTTTTTTATAAAAATGCCCACCCCCCACCAAGGCTCTGCAACACAAACACACACACTGCATCACATACACACACACTGCATCACATACACACACACTGCATCACATACACACGCACTGCATCACATACACACGCACTGCATCACATACACACGCACTGCATCACATACACACGCACTGCATCACATACACACGCACTGCATCACATACACACGCACTGCATCTCATACACACGCACTGCATCTCATACACACGCACTGCATCTCATACACACACACTGCATCTCATACACACACACACTGCATCTCATACACACACACACTGCATCTCATACACACACACACACACTGTAAATAAATATTCAATTAATATAATTTTTTTTAGGATCTAATTTTATTTAGAAATTTACCAGTAGCTGCTGCATTTCCCACCCTAGTCTTATACTCGAGTCAATACGTTTTCCCAGTTTTTTGGGGTAAAATTAGGGGCCTCGGCTTATATTCGGGTCGGCTTATACTCGAGTATATACGGTAATTTAAATTTTTTGACCACATTAGCCAAACTGGAAGCATAGCAGCCTTAGATTTAGACAGGGATTCAGTTATTTGTCCTTCAATTTTAAATTCACCGTGAGTTCCCAATTTAGTGATAACCATTTTAGCTTCCTTGTGTTTAGTATCAGAATAAAACAGAGTACCGCTTATTGTATGTGGAAATATTTCTCCCTTTTTAAAGGGCTGCACAATTCCAAAACTACTTTACCAATCCTAACATTGACTCTGTTATATTGAATGTAATTTATGTATATCACGTGCACCTTGACTAGAGAGGAATAAAGTTGTACTTCAGAATTAAAATTATATTTTTGTATTTTATTTGATTAGATATGATTAGACGCAGAAGTTTGAGAACCCGCGCCATTAAAATGCTAGTTTTGGATGAAGCAGATGAAATGCTTAATAAAGGTAAGAATTCTGTGGGGAGCTAAATTCACTTAGAATGGGGGAAATGTTGTGCAAAAACATTGGTAAAGGGTACCTATCATGACAAATATGCTAGCAAATGTCTAAAATCAGAGGTTAAAATAGCCTTTCCCCTCCTGTGCTGATCAGCACAGTGATAACAAGGCTGTGCTCTGCTGTTATCCCAGAAACTCATGTGAGCTTGAATTCAGCCTAAGGGAAATCAATTGCTGCAAGGTGAAGTAGGGAGGGGGGCAGGCACAAAGAGAGGTGAAGTAGGGAGGGGGGCAGGCACAAAGAGAGGTGAAGTAGGGAGGGGGGCAGGCACAAAGAGTGGAGAGAAACAGCAATTAGCTTTAGACTGGCAATCTGAGAATAAAGGGAGAGAACAGAAGTTTTGTTTACACAAAGCCAATATAAAGTGTTGGCCTTTAACCGGTTATTGGAAACAAGTCTGTGCTTCCCAAGCAGGGATATGCTGGAGAGGTGTGTGTGTTACAGCAAGCGTAACACCAATTATAAGCATGTTTGATTTTTTTTTTTTTTTCAGTAGACTGGTAATGGAAATACATTAAAATGGGCGATCTGTCTGTCGTGACATGTTTAGTTTAAAAGTACGTACAGGACATGGATGCCCATACATTTGGTTGTCATGTGGCTTGCTCCAGTTGTAGAATGTTGCCCAACCATCTTTCCTCCGACACTTTAAAACATTTTTTTTTAAATTCATTTTACCCATTAAAGGGTTACCTGAAGTGCTTGGAGTCTAGGAAATGCTGCTCATACAGACATAGCCCTTTCCTGCCAGAGGTGTAACTCCACCTCCTGCAGTGTCAATACAGCATCATCAGCCAGCTCAAATAAGAGTTCTGGGTTAGCAGATGTTAATTCTGTACATATTTAATGTCTGAGTAACCATTTAAATTCTTTTTTTTTCTCATCTTAATTTTAGGTTTTAAAGAGCAGATTTATGATGTATACCGATACCTTCCTCCTGCTACTCAAGTATGTCTGATCAGTGCCACATTGCCTCATGAAATCTTGGAAATGACTAATAAATTCATGACTGATCCCATTCGTATACTGGTGAAACGGTAAGTCATATTCGTTATTAATTTCTATGTTTACATTTTTCTGAAAACAAGAGGTCCATAATGTCTGCCGAAACACTCCTATATGTGTAATACTTCACTGATCAGAACATACTATTTGATTTTAAGACTATATCTTTAAGACACTAAAGTCTTATGAAAAATACCATCTTTATGATATGCTTGTAAAGAATTCCAACACTTTCGTAAGATTTAATGAGACAAAGTAGAGGGACTACTTGCCTCATTGTAAATGTCAGACTTGACAAAAGATGAATCTTCCAATCATTGCCAGCGGTCTCGTGGGATCCTCCATAGTCATCAGTGTTACACTTTTGGACATGTGTGGCAATACAGAAATATTCTATACTATAGAAATATTCTTGGTGAATGTGTCAGAAGCTTAGCATTATCTCTGTAATTTATGGAAGGTGACAGCTTCTATAATCTATTTTTATTGTAGTCTCTTCAAATATATGGCTTGTTGTAGTTTTATCATGTTTTTTTCTAGTTAGAGCATTTATTTGTAACTGGTTCAGTGTAACATACTTTGATATGGACGGTGGTTGTTTTTTACACCTGTTTTTTCAAACTGTTATTTCTCCCCTAGTGATGAGTTGACATTGGAAGGCATCAAGCAATTCTTCGTGGCTGTGGAGAGAGAGGAGTGGAAGTTTGATACATTGTGTGATTTATATGACACTTTGACTATTACACAGGCTGTAATTTTCTGCAACACCAAAAGAAAGGTATGTAATCTATTATTTTTTTTAAAGTGAATTTTTAAAAGTCCCTCTTTCATGTTAAGGGACTTCTTTATTTTCTTTGGTGTGTTCTTGAAGTGTTACAGATACTTTCTAGCCTCCCTTCCAGTGTTCTTTCAATAACCCCAAATATCCAATATTCTGTCCATTCGAACGCTCAAGTGTTTTTTTTTTTTGTTTTTTTTCTTCACCTATTTGTCATTTTAGTTGCACCAAATAATTCCATGGCAGCTGTACTAGCTTCTGTCCTGTCACTTCTCAGAGGTCAATTATTTTATTTACAGGGTTACTTTTAGGCTCTCTCTTGAAGTTCAGGGCATGAACTTTTGATATTTAAAACCTTTCCATTGATTTTGGACTCTGAGGCTACAGCATGTAAATATTTCAGAAAACCTATAGCTGTAAAGCAAGAAGAAAGTGCAAAGAAACTAAAGTTCCATTTTATTTTCCTTTTTAGGTTGATTGGTTGACAGAGAAAATGAGAGAGGCTAACTTCACAGTATCATCCATGCATGGGGATATGCCTCAGAAGGAGCGTGAGTCCATCATGAAAGAATTTCGTTCTGGAGCCAGGTATGAAGCGTTTTCCATTTCTTTCTTATGCATTGTACATCAGTAGACAAACCTTCTGTAAGGTTTAAAGCTTGCTAACATTCTTTGATCAAAATAGATTCTACTCGCCTTCCTTGCCTTTAAAGCACTTTTCTATTCGCCTTATTTGCGAACTACATTGTGCTGATAATAGTTTGTGACTCTAACCCAGTTGCACCTGTTTTGTACATTTTCATTGGTGATGTATGCTTCTCATAGATAATATTTTTTTGTTTTAATAGTCTGAATTCTTTCCCAAAACAGCTAGAACGTGGTTTGACAAAATGTATACCTTTTGTGTCCCTTTAATCCTACTCACTATAACATAATGTATAGCGCTAGTTTATATGTATGTAAAAAGTGGTGCAAATATGTTCCTTTTAATGTGATTGCAATATGATCTTTTGTTTTGCATGGACACTCTATGAAATGCTTTTGAAATACTGCAACTGCTGTAAAAGCCAGGCGTGGTGTAATCAAGCCATGTCACTTTTTTAATGTCTTGATAGTCAATGTACTACTCAAAGATTTGTAAACGTTTGCAGCCTGTGATGTCATGACCATATGTTTAGAATCCGTTTAGGGATATGCGTTTTACATTGTTTGTGTAATGCCAGGCATGTACAAACTTTTTTTTGTTTTCTCCCTTCTTTCCCCTCTTACAGCCGTGTTCTCATATCTACTGATGTGTGGGCCAGAGGTTTGGATGTTCCCCAGGTGTCTTTAATCATTAACTATGATCTGCCCAACAACAGAGAATTGTACATTCACAGGTATAGTAATTTTCTTGTATGATTTTGTAACGTTACATTCATAATAAATTTGGTTATTGTGCTTCAGTTTGTAGGGTGGGGACCTCTTATTTCGTTAACACCATTAACCTGTTGCTATGGATTGTTACAATAGTGAGTAATGTTTTGTGCATCAACTTGTGACCTACAACTGTCCTGTCAATTGAGGTGGAAGCAGTAATCATCGTAAACGTATCGACGTCCGTACACATATATTTGCTGATTTGGACAGCACAGTCTTTGCTGCATATCTACCCAATTCACTGAGTCATTAAATGTTACAGTAAGCCTGTGTTTACCATTCGTCTATGAAAGTAAGCCAATTTTGCATGTCTAGGAGTATTGCATCTGTCACGTCATTAAACAATAACTTTATACGGAGCTGGTCTTTTAAACTTATATTTTATTTTATTTTTTTGAAGTTTGTCATTTCAAGAAAAGTCGATCATTTTTTATACTTTTCCTTTTTGTTTTTAACAGAATTGGTCGTTCAGGGCGATATGGAAGGAAAGGTGTTGCCATCAACTTTGTGAAGAATGACGATATTCGAATCCTGCGAGATATTGAGCAGTACTACTCTACTCAAATTGATGAAATGCCCATGAATGGTACGTACATTGCCCTCTACGTATATGTGACCACTATTGTATGAGGCATTTGCACATATATTTTATATTAATTATACATTTTTCTAATTTTTTTTTTTAGTTGCTGATCTGATCTAAAGAATGATATCCCATATGGAACAGCTGTGGAAATAAGCTGCAAAGAAAACATTTGACGCAATTTTATTTTGGGAACTGGTTTCAATAGCGAACTTTTAACTGTTTATTTTTTTTGTATTTAACTGTGTATCTGATATAACTCCACAAAGCATTGTGATCCATTGTAAATACTGCATTTGGTGGATTTTTTTTCAATTAAAAAAAAAAAAAAGAAAATCAAAAAATTGTCACGTGTTTTTGTGAAGATTATCTTGTGTATTGAATAAATGCACATTGGTGTCATGGGATTACTTAATTTTAAATACTTTAAGGCACACTATAGATTGAAATTTTTCATTTTTAATAACACCTTGGGTAAGGAGGCAATGGTCTGAGTTCTGACCCAAAAAACCTTTTTGTTTTAATTATTTTAATTTATTTTATGTATATTATGTGCACCCACGCTTATTTTAAATAGTTTTATTCTAGATACATATATAACATAATTTAATGAGAAATTAATTTTAATGTTTTACTATTGGCTTTTAATGCAATAAAATACATATTTGTATGCTATGATGCCCCCACGTACAGATTTTATGGTGTTATAGGTTCAAATATAGGGCTTGCCCATCTTAGTTTTTACACATTGACATTTTTCCAGATTGGTTTGGTGGGCATATGTTGCCTTTGGGGTCCATATTGCAACGCAGTAATGAACATTACCCCATAATGGCATACAATTTGCAAAAGTAGACAAGCCAGGGTAATCAAAATGGGTTATGACCTGTCTTTTGTAGTAGCCACTTAGTCACAAAATTTTTTTTTTTTTTTTTGCTTTTGCACTCACTGATATTACCTTTATATCTTTTACTGCTCTAAAACACTTTAGCAATGTCTTACGAGTACAACAGAACCCACATACACCAGATTTATGGGGTTTTGGAAAGTTAGTCAAATTTATAGGCCTTGCCCATTTAATTATTCACACATTTGAAATTTTCCAGATTGGTCTACTGGACCTCTGTTATCTCTGAGACCTTATTGCAGCCTAGGAATGAGGATTGCAAAAAAGAATAAAAGTGACTATCAAATACACAGAAAATAGTGATACCTCACATAAACACGTGAAAAGGAACTGTGATGTGATGCGAAACCATCACCATAAAATATAAATCCCTTATAAATTAAATGTTGGTGAGAAAATACGCTTCAAGATTAGGGTTTAATTAGTCACTAAACTGTTTCTCAAAACAAGCTACACAGTTGTTTTGTATCAGCGGGAAAAAAAAGGTGGTACTCGATAGTTCAGATATTCCTAGTTTATCACCTTTTTAACCCCTTAAGGACCAAACTTCTGGAATAAAATGGAATCATGACATGTCACACATGTCATGTGTCCTTAAGGGGTTAAAGGCTATAGCAATGGTTGTGACATTCCTCTGTATTCACTTCTCCTTGTGCAAAAAAGTTTTTGAGGAACAGTGTCTGTTGCAGACCATAAGGTTCGTATCTTGATGCATCCCACCAAACATGACGGAAACCATCTACCTCCGCCCCACATTGCCAGTATGTAATTGGTACAGCAATCTTGCAAATGGAGTACCTCATGGGTTACCGCTTCAAACTGTAGGAGTTCTCTTGAAAACAAGCAGAAGTTGGTGTCATTTGTATAAGATGTATTAATTTTATCCCATTCCTCATTGGTAAATGTATTTTGTAAGTCTACTTCCAATTTGTTGGTGCAGGGGGGTGCCAGCAAATATCTACTCTCCACCAGCATTCTGTAAATAGAGATACTCCAGGGGGCGAGGGAGTCATGAAAACAGATTCAAACACCTCAATGCTCCTAGGGGGCTTCTGGGGAATTAGAGATGTAATTTGCAATTTGAGCCCTCAGCAAGTCAAGGGGAACATCCAGAAAGTGGTCAGAAATAGCAGGGTTTGTAGTACATCAAGCAAGCAGTGGAAAGGAAACTTGGAATTCCAAGATTCCAATCAGGGAAAGCCGTGGCTCTGGCTCTGTAGAGAGGCAATACTTGGTGCCATAGTGTGATTGTCATCTTGACAAATTGGTTGGTAGCTGCCAACCGTCGGCACTCCTCTGTCCATATTCATGGTAAGGCTCGTAGATCAGCCTGGACACTAGCCGATTCCAACATCACCAAGCTCTTTCAGCCACCTGCAACTGTCCAACTGACAATTCTTAAATAAGAAAAGTGTGCAGCCATGTAATATTTCTCAAAATCCATAAGGGCCAATTCTCCGCTCAATTTAGAGCAGTGGTGCCCAATAGGTAATTCCCAGATGTAAAACTACAATTCCCTTGATGTTTTGCATACCTTTGGAATTCCTTTTAGAATGACAAAGCATCGTAGAACCTGTAGTTTTAAATTTCTAGAGATCTACCTTTTTGGCACCACTGATATAGGGAATATCAGTTGGGTATAGGCAATTCTTGAGAACCAGATGAATTGTCAAACATCTCCTTCCTCAGGGACTTAAAATAAGCTGGTGCAACATATATTGAGAAAGTCTGAAAGTGAAACAGTCTTGATGGCGGTGTCATCTTAACCGCTTTAATCCTGCCTAGCCATGAAATATTATAGGAGCTCCAATTCACTAATTCCTCTGTCACCGAGCAGAGGAATGCGACAATTTGTTGTGCATAGGTTGGAAGGATCTTTCATTAGCCATATTCCCAGATAGTGCATCTATGCTGGAAACCATTGATATTGATACTGATTAGTAAGCGTCCTTCATAGCAATGGGGTAATGGTCGCATCCAATATTTCTGATTTGGAGGTTAGAAATTGTTGAATTATGTAGCAGTGTGTTAAGAAATGAAGCATTGTATCGATATCAGTTCTAGCATTGAAAGCATCAAAATGTGTATGTTTGCACAATAACAGATCTAATTTACAAATTTGTCAGTATTTTATTTATTCACTACAAGATTTTCAGAAGATGTAAATTATGTAGCAGTGTGCAGTGAACTGAATCATTGTATCAATATCAGTCTTAGCATTGAAAGCATCCACATATAGTTTTGTTCAATAACAGATCTAATTTAAAATGTTCCCAATAGTATTTTATTTATCCTGTACAAGATTTTTAAGTCTTTAAGTTTTTTTAAGTCTTTAATTTTTAAGTTTCTAACCACTAATTTGTTATGCATTGATATCCGTAGTGGACCTCTTGAATTGTTCGTTATATTCATGCAAACATCTTTGTTACAATAAACTGGATAAGTGTCTGTTACAACAAGTAGGTGAATTTAGACCCTCTTTTGTTCTTGTGATTAGGAATTTATGTCCCCTAAAAAATATTTACATATAATAGACATGTCTCAACAGGACATGTCATTGTATAAATCCCAAGCGCTATATGTAAATATAAATTTAAATAAGCATCAGGCAGACAATAAATATTACAAAAACACACTAGATCCCAATCTACATTTAAACCTATTGGCTCTAAAGCGTTCAACTTATGTATCCAGTAAGACTCTCTTGGGTCAGTTTACAGTCAATGTCCCCTCCTCTCCAAAGTGTAATATATTTTTTTTGTATGCATAAAAATGAAAAAATACTTAAAATAGGGACATAAATTACAATGGGCCTATACTGAATGTTGTTGAATTTTTAAATTATTATTAAAGGAACACTATAGCATTAGGAATACAAATAAGTATTCCTAACGTTATAGAGCCCGTGTCACCTAAACGATGACTAGTGCCCCATTCCGTGGTGAATACATGGTTAACCATTTATTTGTTTACCTTAATCCAGCGCTGGACTCCCTCGGCACTAGTGACTTCTCCTCCTCCATATATACAGTTGATACTCCAAAAATTTGAATATCGTGCAAAACTTCATTTATTTCAGTAATGCAATGTAAAAGGGGAAACTAATATATGTGATAGACGCATTACATGTAAAGCAAGATAGTTCAAGCCGTGATTTGTCATAAGTGCGATGATTATGGTTTACAGCTCATGAAAACCCCAAATCCACAATCTCAGTAAATTAGAATATTGTGAAAAGATGCAATATTCTAGGCTCACAGTGTCCCACTCTAATCAGCTAAGTAAGCCATAACACCTGCAAAGGGTTTCTGAGCCTTTAAATGGTCTATCAGTCTGGTTCAGTAGGAATCACAATCATGGGGGACCTGACAGTTGTGCAGAAAACCATCATTGACACCCTCCATAAGGAGGGAAAGCCTCAAAAGGTAATTGCAAAGGAAGTTGGATGTTCCCAAAGTGTTGTATCAAAGCACATTAATAGAGAGTTATGTGGAAGAAAAAGGTGCACAAGCAGCAGGGATGACCGCAGCCTGGAGAGGATTGTCAGGAAAAGGCCATTCAAATGTGGTGGGGACTTTCACAAGGAGTGGACTGAGGCTGGAGTCAGTGCTTCAAGAACCACCACACACAGACGGGTCATGGACATGGGCTTCAGATGTCGTATTCCTCTTGTCAAGCCGCTCCTGAACAACAAACAACGTCAGAAGCGTCTTACCTGGGCTAAAGAAAAACAGACCTGGTCTGTTGCTCAGTGGTCCAAAGTCCTCTTTTCTGATGAGAGCAATTTTTGCATCTCATTTGGAAACCAAGGACCCAGAGTCTGGAGGAAGAATGGAGAGGCACACACTGCAAGATGCTTTAAGTCCAGTGTGAAGTTTCCACAGTCTGTGTTGATTTGGGGGGCCATGTCATCTGCTGGTGTTGGTCCACTGTGCTTCATTAAGTCCAGGGTCAACACAGCTGTCTACCAGGAGATTTTGGAGCACTTCATGCTTCCTTCCATAGACGAGCTTTATGAGGATGCTGACTTCATTTTCCAGCAGGAAACTGCCAAAAGCACCAAAGCCGGGTTCAATGACCGTGGGATTACTGTGCTTGATTGGCCAGCAAACTCACCTGACCTGAACACCATAGAAAATCTGTAACCGTGACTGGTTCCCTTATTTACCACTATAACGTCTTAAAGCATAGAACTTAGTAGGTTCTAACCATACAGATATCTTAGCCATAATTTTATATAGTTAGTGTAAGAGATACTCTATTTAACATATATAAATAATTGAGAATACAATTTAAAATAAGGATTGTCTTGGAAGCAATAAAGTTTTGTCTTTTTGGAATTTATTATATAAAAATATAAATATAGACATATAAAATCCATTATAGCAGAGTTTAGAAGATTAAACTAAATGCTTGCAAATATCATTAATAGGTTAACATACCCTCCTGAACATGTCATCATGTCAGC